GAGAAATAATAGCAGGACGCTGAATACAAAAACTTGCGAAACTGAATGTAACCATAAGCAAAAAAGTGCATTAGAGAGCTCATTTGTGAGAGAATTTAACTGTCTTTCTGCGTAGTACACTCAGACCAAATAAACGTCCGTCATAGTAGATGGTTAGCGCAAGGTGCACAAAAAGCGGCCACATTCCCTGACTCTGTTCACAGTAGTTGGTGGAAGAAACACTTAATTACTGACTTCCTTTTATATTCGTCATCAGGAACTAAAAAAATGTGCCTGAACTCAAAACGCAGTCATGAGGTAGATTTTGATTATTATTAAAACAGCACTTTACACCATACCTACATCCCTGTGACAGGAATAAAGTGGCCTAATTACTACATCCTATAAATACTGCAACGCCTGGGCAATCCACTACGCTTATCTGACTCTGTCTCTGACGATGTATTTGGGTCGAACCGTCAGGCGATTGTGTCTCTTTCTTCTTAGCTCGTTAGTTTTTTTGAAAATCCACTCTAAACACAATCGAGGAATATAGGCAAGCACGTACGAACGTACACTTACTTTTCAAAAATTTTATCAGCATGCACCGAGAAGTCACCGGTACGGAAGGAAGAGGCAGAATTTTTGAGCGCCTCAATAGTTGTAGATATCCACTCGTAGAGGGCATAGAGACGCAAGAGGCCGGCTTCGGCCATTGATTCCTCCATGTTAGCGTCTTCCAACGAGTCTCCAGCATCGGCAAGCGCCAAACGAAGACCTATTTTTACGATCAGTTGAAGTAGGGAGTTAACAAAGTCATTCCATCTGAGGGAAAAAGTGACTGTTAAGTAATAAACAATTGTTGAATGCTCTCAGACCTGCATAAACCTAATCACTACCATGAGCAACGATCTTAACACCTAGGTGAGTCAATCAGACCACCCGTCGCCTAGTGCGACAAAACCGGTGCAACGGTCAACTCGGCTGTTGCCTAGGTAACAATGCACTTAACACAGGATGGGACAGCTCTGATAGCATCCTAAAGTAAACACATACATTGCTGTAGTCATCTGGTACAGATTGGTCGAAAATTAAATCTCGGAGATTAGGCCACTAGTCGGCTGAGGCTAAATCTGGGTGATAATAAGTACACAAAGAGATGGATGAAAAGAGCAAAATGGTTACCATCGGCGGAGTATTTTGCTATAGCGTCTGACAGAGTGAGGAAGTTGCCCGTTGATTTGGACATCTAAGACGTAGAAAGAGGCAGGATAACTGTAAGTATGTGACATAGATTAATAGAAAGTACGACACAGAGGGAAAATAGCTTTTCTATGACGCCAACAAACTCGAGCCTAATATACAGCATCGACCCAGATTAACTTACAGACAGTGACCGATCGCATACAATGTTACCCAAAATGTTAAACTGTGTTTTATAGGATGAATAATTACTGAAGTGGAATTATAATATTTAATAATTTCTGCGAATATCCCCATGCTTAATTTGAGAAGTCACTTTTGCCAAACATATGTTTTCAGAAAATCTTCATCAGGCCAAAACATTTGCAGAAGTAATGGGAACTGTACAATTGGATACGGTTAATAAGAGTAATCTGATTACAATTTATCGCTTACACGCCGACCTCGCCATGAGGTGCTCGGTTTGGGGAGGAGGGGAGAGAATTGGGTTAGGTTGTGGCCGTTGACCAGAGATCATAAACTTAAGATTTTTCAGACATGTCAGGATGCCGGCTTTTTAACGAACTTCTTTTCGGTCTTTTGGAGAAAACTAAATCGTTAACAATAACTACTTAAGTAGTGCGCATTTTGCCATAGATTTTCAACGCTCTTGCGATTTCCAATATATTTTATAAAAAAACATAATCAGATTGACGTTAGCACTTCATAATCAACTTAAAGTGCATACACTGGAGATTTCCTATCACAATAAATGGCAACTCAAATTCTGAAATATCTTCCCTTGAAAAAGATTATTTAAGTGGTATTTTACTACTAGTTATCGCAAATTTCAAGAAAAGGCGGCCTTTCCATGAAAGTACGTTTCTTAGGATGCCTGCCTTCCAGTTTATACGAAGTTATCGTAAACTTCAGTAACGTCAGGATGCCGAAATTTGGACGACCTTCTTTCCGGATGCATTCCGCTTTGTAAACTTGGCCATTTAAGCAGTGTATTTTTTATACAGTAGTCGCCGGCTATTAAGCCCACCTCGGGCCCAGACCAAATT